GAACACCGAAACCAGCGCGGAACTGGTGGTGGTTGCTGTGCCCGTCCCAGGGCGGCCAAATCGACCACAACCACAGTCAGAGCGCTCATTTCGAGGTCGGCAACTTCACCCTCGACGGACCCTCCAGAAAAATTCCGCTGAGTTGTGGCTGTGGCTCTCTGTTGCTCGGGGATTTCCTGACGCGGGTCCATGCAGATCCAGATCAGTCAGGATCCTGCAGGATCCGGCGCCCAAGCCCAGGTCAATGCAACCCTGGCTTTGCAGCATCCTGCTAGATCTGGCGCTCTGACTGACCCCCCCTTGCATTGAGACCCCCCGTCTGTTGAGACCCGGCACAACCACAGCAAAAGTGCTCATGTCGAGGACGGCGGATGTTCCCCACGGACCCTCCAGAACAATTCACTGAGTTGTGGCTGATTGGCAGCGCGCACAAGAGGGTAGCGGGAAGGGGGAAAGCGTCTCAGGAGGTTGCTTCTCAGAAGGCGCTGGCCCTACATCTAGGGAGACAAGACCCGCGCCCTGTAAATAGCACGGGTGCTTCTAAGAAACCTTCCCCCCTACCCCATACCCCCTTCTGCGCGAGGCCGAGCTGTGGCTCTCTGTGGCACCACGGCTCCACTCCGAGCCGCATCGCCGATGCATGGGCGATGCGGAGGGATCCTCCGACCCCCTCTGCAGTCAACCTGCATCAGTTGGCGGCGCGCACAAGGGGGTGGGGAGAGGGGGGAGGGCTTCTTAGAAGCAGGCTGCTTCTTAGAAGGCGCCGGCCTCACATCTATAGATAAGTCCCGCGCCTTCTAAGAAGCACGGGTGCTTCTAAGAAACCATCCCCCCTACCCCATACCCCCCTCTGCGCGAGGCCGAGCTGTGGCTCTCTGTGGCACCACGGCTCCACTCCGAGCCGCATCGCCGATGCATGGGCGATGCGGAGGGATCCTCCGACCCCCTCTGCAGTCAACCTGCATCAGTTGGCGGCGCGCACAAGGGGGTGGGGAGAGGGGGGAGGGCTTCTTAGAAGCAGGCTGCTTCTTAGAAGGCGCCGGCCTCACATCTATAGATAAGGCCCGCGCCTTCTAAGAAGCACGGGTGCTTCTAAGAAACCCTCCCCCCTACCCCATACCCCCCTCTGCGCGTGGCTGAATCAGAAGGACGCACGATGAGGCTGCAGGGGCTTTGCAAGGCCATGCCGACACCTCGCGGGCGAGGCGTGGCCGGCGAGAGCGGCCAAGGACGGGCTGCAGGGGCAGGCTGCAGGCGCCGCCTGGGAACGCCGCTCCTCCTCGCTGTGCGGGCCGGCTCTCCTCCGATCCCCCTCTGGGCGTGGGGTCGGGCGAGAGGGGGGGATAGCAAAGGGGCGGCTTGAGAACCAGCTCACATCAGCTGCTTTTCCCGGCGCCTCCCGGCGCCGGGAGGCGACTACGCATCGAGGAAGGGGCCCCTCGGTGGGGCCGAAACCAGCTGCATGCAGCAAATCTCGGAGAGAACGTGATCCACCGCCGCTTTACAGTAGAAAATTGCCAACCTCTTCCTCCAGAACCCGGGGGTCGCCCCCCCCCCCCCCTCCGAAAATCCTCCCCCCCCCTGCTGGAACCCCCCCCCCCCCCTCCCCCGGCAAAACCCCCCCCTCCCCTAACCCCTCCCCCCCCCCTCCCCCTCGAAAACCGGGGGGTCACTACCGGTTCGAACCCCTCCCCCCCCCCTCCGGATCTGGAAAACCGGGGGGGGGTCACTACCGGTTCGAACCCCCCCCCCCCTCGAAAACCGGAGGGGGGGTCACTACCGGTTCGACCCCCCCCCCCCCCACGCACCGCCAGCAAACGACTCCCGGTCCCTACCACCGTCCGCATCACATCCCCCACTGTTGTTCCCAGCACCACTGTCCTCACCACCACTGTCCCCACTGGTTCCACCACCGTCCCTACTGTCCCCACCAGTGCCCCCACCACTGTCGCACTGTCCCCACTGTCCCTACCACTGTTCCCACCACGGTTCCACTCCCCCCACTGTCTCCACGGCCCCAACCACTGCCCGACTATCCCCACTGTCCCCACTGTCCCACTGACTCCTCCGCTGTCCCACTGAGCTGTCCCACTGTTCCCACCGTCCCCACTGTCCGTCCCCACCACTGTCCCCACTGTACGTACCTCTGTCCCATTGTCCCACCGCCGTCCTCGCCACCGCCTTCACCACTGTCCCCACCACCATGGTACCCTCCACTGTCCCACACTGTTTCCACCTCATTCCCACTGTCCCCACACCACTGTCCCCACCACCACCGTCCCCACCACTGTCCACTGTCCCCCCTGTTCCCACCATTGTCCCCACCACTGTCCCCACCACTACCGTCCCCACCACTGTCCCACTGTCCCGCTGTCCCCTCACCACTGTCCCGCTGTCCCCTCACCACTGTCCCCACCAACTCCGTCCCCACCACTGTCCGCACCCCCACTCGGACCGTGCGAACAATGTACCGTGCCGTGCTCGGCTCCAGGTCGCGGAAAGTTCGCGTGCCGCGCCGTGACGCTCGTGTGCCCTACACTCGTGCAGCGTCGACGCTCGTGGCACCTCCATCCCGACCTCGCCGATGCCTCGGCGAGGCGGTGCCGCTCTCCGACCCCGGCTGCTCCGATCCAATCTGGGCGGCGCCCGGCGTTCGAACCGGTAGTGACCCCCCCCCCGGTTTTCGAGGGGGGGGGGTTCGAACCGGTAGTGACCCCCCCCCCTTTTCATGATGGGGGGGGGAGGGGGAGGGGTTCGAACCGGTAGTGACCCCCCCGGTTTTCCGGAGGGGGGGGGGAGGGGTTCGAACTGGTAGTGACCCCCCCCGGTTTTCCGCCAGCAGCGGTAGAACACGCTCTTTCCAATCTCGTGACCCCCCCTTTCCTATAGTCCCCCCCTTTCGTCCGGCCCGACTCTGGGAGGCCCAAGCCGACGGCCCCCCGAGCCGTGGCCGACGGCCCTCTGCTGCGCCCGGACCCCGGCGGCCCGGCGCGCGAGGCCCACCCGCGGCCGAGGCGCGCTGCCACGGCGCGATCCGCCGCGCCCGCAGCACGCGCGCCGCGCGCCCTCCTTTTGTGGGGCCCGCGCGGCGCCTGCGCTGGGCCGCTGCGCACCGCCGGCCGGCGGCGCCCCGCGCGGACGGCCGCGCGGGGCCCGCGCGAGCCGCCCGCCGCGCCGCCGCCACGCGCGCCGCGGCCTGGACGGGCGGGCGGCCAGCGGCGAGCGACGAGCGACGAGCGACGACGACGAGCGACGACGACGAGGACGACGACGCACGCACGCACGCACGCACGCACGCACGCACGACCCTGGCGGCGACGGCGCCTGCGACGGCGAGGGCGACGACGACCCCTGCGACGGCAGCGGTGACGACGCTGCGGCGTCGACTGACGGCCACAGCCGCAGGCCCCCATCAAGAAGGGCAGGTCGTGTCGAGCTCTACTGTGGCCCCGGCTCTCTTCGGTTATCCTGCCTGCAGGAGCTTCGACCAGGTTTCGCCTCTCTCTGGAGGCTTGGGGTGACAAGCCTGTGCGAGATTCCTGACGTGCGTGCGCGGCAGAGCCGGCACACACGAGCAAGCTGTGATACCGTCTCTCTGAGGTCGGCAACCAGACAGCGATGACTCAGCTCGCGAAGCTGGGAAGCCTAGAGAGGGAGGGAAGAGGAGGATGAGGAGAGGCGGAGAAGCATCAACAGCGCAGGGCGCAGAGAGGCGGCGGATGATGAGGAGGAAGTGAAACGGCAGCTGGCGCGGCAGCGGCAGCAGCAGCAGCAGTGCGGGGCGAGAGAGGGGCTGACGGGATGGAAAGAAGGGCGAAGGGAAGCGGAAGGCGAACTGAAAGCGAACCTGGAGGGAAGGGGCGGTCTTCAATCCTCGGTCACGTCGGTTGGTATGGATCGAATCTTGTCTTCCATTGAGAAGCTGCAGGGCCATGAGATCAACACGTTGTATGAATACCAGGCGGACGGGCAGTACGTCCTGCCTGGGAATCGAGTCGCCGTCCGCAACTCTGTTGGAGGCTGTCCCTAAAGGCTTGAACTGGGGATCAGATGACATCAAAATAAATGGAGTCCGAGATCGTGCCGCATCACCGTTGCATCGGCGATGCCGGCCATGCACCAGCGCCGTCGGCGTGGAGAAAACCGATGTCCTCATCGAACCGCATCGCTGATGCATCGGAAATGCGGCGGGATCCTCGGACCCCATCCACTCGTGTCCCACTTGGGATGCCTGGAGAGTACACTCTCGAACCATCTCAGGGCCCAACTGCCGCTGCCTCGTCGAGACAACGTGGAGGGGGAGATTGTTGTCATTATTTCGGGTACTCCGGATTCCATAATAAAGTAGGGGGGGTCACATTTGGCGGGGGGTCTGATTTGAGCTGTCTTGAAGGGTTCGGGGGGGTCTGGGCAAAGTGCCGCCCTTTCATGGATGGTCTGGGGGGGTCTAAAACTTCTGGTCTGGGAGGGTTGTGACCCCCTCCCTCTTATCACGAAATCTGGAGTAACAGTCGTTGCCCAGGGAAGGGGGGTCGGGCAACGACAACGCTTGGGCGGGGTGGGGAACGTCGGGGCGGGGTTTGCGCTGCGATCGCCACAGCCTGCGCGCGAGGAACCAGCTGATAGGGGGGGGCATCCAGGGCCCCCCTCCCTACGTACGATCACTATCGTTATCCAGGGGGCGACGACTGTGGCGGGCCAGAGGAAACACAAAAACACAACATCGAGGGGGGGCGGACTCTACCATTCTTCGCACCAGCCATGACGCAGAAGGAAGCGAAGGCAAGAAATCCGAGGAGAGAGAGAGAGAGAGAGAGAGAAAGCGTGCGCAGCGTGGACCGAAAACGGCTGTCACGCGCACGTCGGCAACTAAGCGAGGCAAATCCTGATGCGTCGAGGTGAATCCACAGATCTCCAGAGAAATCCACGTCGGGGGGGGGGACGGGGGGGGGGGGGCGGCTTGGGGCGCCCAGGCGCCACGCAGGGGCGGTGGTGGGCCCGCCTCAGCGGCGAGCAGCAGGAGGCCCTCGTCGGCCGCCAGGGCCGCCGTGGGGCACGCTGGGCGCGCGGGGGCGGTCGGCAGCGGGGGGACAGCACAAGGGACCGAGCGCGGCGGCACCAGGGAAGCCTGCGGCGGCGGCGGCGGCCACGGCGGCGGCGGCGTAGAGGGCGAGGGCGGCCCAGCGGCCCCGAAGACGGGCGGCAGCGGGACGGCGGCGGAGCGGCGACGGCGGCTGCATCGCCGCCGGAGCGGCACACCGGCCCCGACGACGGGGTGGCGACGGGGTGGCGGAGGTCCGGGCAGCCAGAACTGGGGGAACTGTGGTCCTTACCCCCTTGGGGGAACCCATCGCGTCGACGATCTCTCGAGAGGGGTGTCGAAATCGATGGGTCCCCCAGGGGGGTGAGGACCACAGCTCCCCCAGTTGTGGCTGGCCTGGAGGTGGCCACGTGGCCGCCAGAGCGGCACGCCGGTCCAGTTCTTTAGAAAGGCTTCAGGAGTGAAGCAGGAACCCCCTGCGTGCAAGCGTTCGGGGAGGCACACAAGACCACTGACATCATGGATGATCGATCTTCCTCCTCATCCTCTTCCTCCCCCCCGGGCGCTGGAGGTGGAGTTGGGAGGAGGAGGAGGACAAAAAGGAGAAGACGAGGAAGGATAAGGATGAGGCTCGAGAAAGAATGAAAGAGGAGGAAGGAGGAGTTCGACTGCGACGACAGCAACAACGACCTCCCCCCTGTCCGATCCTCAGTGGGCCCAAGATCCCCACACTCGAACCTCATCGATCCACACACCCTCCTCCCTCTCCTCCTCGTGACTCCGCTCCGATCCTTCTCTCCTCCTCGCCTCCCCGGTCACCCTCCGCGAACCTCGTGACCCCGCTCCGGCATCCGACCCGCCCCCCTCCGCGCTGGCGCGGCGCGCCTGGGCGTTCAGTGCGGCATGCCCGGCATCCCCGGCATCCCTGGCAGGGGCCGCGGCGGAGCAAGGGGGCCCGAGGGGGTCGAGGGCAAGGGGCGGCGGTGCCTACATGAGTCCATGCAGCCGCTCCGCGGCCGAAGGTCTACCAGCCGCCCCTCACAGACCAATGCTCCCCAGCTACACGCGAGCCCATTCGACCGCCGAATCGGGCGACTCAAAACAGCGCAGGCGGGCGACCTCCCAGACGTCGGGCAAGGGGGGACACACCTGCCTCGTACCAGAGGAAGCTGGTGGGCTCCAGATTCGGCGCAGGCCCAGGACCCACCGCGGGCCAGGTCCGGGTTAGAAGGTTGAGGATCGAGCTGATGGCAGGAAGCCGAGGGGAGGAGGAGGGAGAGGAGGAGGAGGAGGAGGAGGAGGAGGAGGAGGAAGGAGGAGGAGAGGAGGATAGGAGGAGGAGGAGGAGGAGGAGAGGGAGGAGATGGAGGAGGAGGTTGAGGATTGAGGATCGAGGAGACTGCTACTTGCCGGACCTCTTCAGGGGTGCGTCCTGACAAAGACTTCGAGGGGAGCCCCGCCGTGGCGACGAGGGAAGGGTAGCCGCGTCGACACCTCATCCTGTGTCCTCTGCCTCCTCCTCCTCCTCCCTCCTCCTCCATCTCCTCCTCCTCCCTCCTCCCCTCACCTCCTCCTCCCCTCCTCCTCCTCTCCTCCTCCTCCCCTCCTCCGCCTCCTCATCCTCTCCTCCTCCTCCGCCTCCTCCTCTTCCTCCCTCCTCCTCCTCCTCCTCCTCCTCCGCCCCTCCTCCACCTCCTCCTCCTCCTCCTCCTCCTCCTCCCCTCCTCCTCCTCCTCCTCCTCCTCCTCCTCCTCCTCCTCCTCCTCCTCATCTGAGAATGAGGACTGTGGAGGCTCGAGCAGCGGTACGTCTGCCAAATTTCTGGCCCCCTTCTGGACTCCTGGGTATCTCCGCAGGCCTCCGTGGGGCCCCCAGGGGGCTCTGCACGGACCGCCAGGGGGGGACCTCCTCAGCCAGAGACCCCCGTGTCAGGGGAGCAGAAGCAGCGCGAGGGAGAAGGGAGGCGAGGAGAGAGATGAGGGGGAAGGGGAGGGGGCAAGCTAGGTGCGCTCGCGTCATATCTGACGTCCTACCCCTCCCTCCCATCCCTTACCATGGAGTAGATCTCTCTATTCGCACAGTCAGATGTCGAAGCAGGCAATAGCATGACATGGCATAGCATGGTGTTGAAGATCAACGCGTAGCTAGACATAGCATGGCATGGCGACGCCCCAAAGAATCAACGAATCGACACCGGTCGTGGAATCACTTCCGATGGTTATTTCGGGGGGGAGGGGGGGGCATTTTCTAGATTTGGGGGCCTATTTGGAAGGACCGAAAACCATGCCGTGGCATGGCGCTGGAAATAGCGACGCCAACGCTGCATCAGGAGCACGACTCGAAACGAGCGGAAGCGCGGAAACGAGGCCAGCGCTGCAGCGGGAGCACGATTCTGAGGACGCGTAGCCTGACATAGCATGGTGTGGCGACGCCGCAAAATGCGGGGGCTTCTGCGACCAAAAAATCAACGGATCGACACCGAATGTGGAATCACTCCCGATGGTTTTTTCGGGGAGGCAATTTCTAGATTGTGGGGCCGAGTTGCAAGGACCGAAAACCATGCCGTGACATGGCGCTGGAAATATTCACGCCACCGCTGCAGCGGGAGCAGGAATCCCAACAAGCGGTAGCCCGAAAATCCGCCGACCCTGTCGGCGTGTGTGAGGGGCTTTTCCGTTCGAGCCGTCATCTCCGTCATTCTTTGTACTCGTCGTCTCTGTCCTTCCCTTTCCCTGGGAGACCTCTTCCCCTGGGCTCCAGCCAAGCCGACCTTGAGCAACCTCGTAATTGAGTCGAAGGGAAGCCCCTTCCCTTTGATCCCTCCCCCGCCGGGAGGGGGGGGGGTAGCGACCCCCCCCCCGGGTCAGATACGACGCCCCCCCCTGGGACTCCTCTTCCCCTGGGCTCCAGCCAAGCCGACCTTGAGCAACCTCGTAATTGAGTCGAAGGGAAGCCCCTTCCCTTTGATCCCTCCCCCGCCGGGAGGGGGGGGGGGTAGCGACCCCCCCCCCGGGTCAGATACGACGCCCCCCCCTGGGACTCCTCTTCCCCTGGGCTCCAGCCAAGCCGACCTTGAGCAACCTCGTAATTGAGTCGAAGGGAAGCCCCTTCCCTTTCATTCCTCCCCCGCCGGGAGGGGGGGGGGGTAGCGGGGGGGGTAGCGACCCTCCCCCCGAGTCAGATACGACGCCCCCCCCCCGTACCGACCTTGAGCAACGTCGTCATTGAGTCGAAGGGAAGCCCCTTCCCTTTCCCTTCCCCGACGGGGGGGGGAGAGGAGGTCCCGGGGGGGGTCCCGGGGGAGTCCCGGGGAAGTCCCGGGTCAGATACGACACCTCCCTCCCCCACCTTCTCGTCCTTCTCCCCGTTCCCCCAAACCATCCCACAGCCCGTGCCTCTTGCTGCGCATTGCGAACAGGGTCGGCGGCACCGGCCGTCAGGCCTTCGCAATCGAGCCATCGCTTCAGTGAGAGAGGCATTGTATATAATACGAATATGTACATATGTATATATATATATATATATATATATATGAGCGTTTCCCCCGAATTCTGTGTAAAACCAGTTCGCGGAGTGGGGCCGGATACTTCCTGCACATCACCGGGGGAGAGAGGAGAATAGTATTCATGTTGTGTATTTGTAGAGAGACGAGAGACAGCATGAGAAAGCGTATACAGCCGGAGGAGGGGAAAAAGAGGATGAGCAAGACAGACACAGGAGGGTGAGGGAGGCGAAGGATGAGGAGGAGGACGAGGAGGGAGGAGGAGGAGGAGGAGGAGGAGGAGGAGGAAGAGGAGGAGGAGGAGGAGGGAGGAGGAGGAGGAGAAGGAGGAGGAGGATGAGGAGGAGATGGAGGAGATGGAGGAGGAGGAGGAGGAGGGGAAGAATACCAGAGAAGTCCGAGGACAGCGAAGGAGGATCATCATGAGGGGTGCAGGTTGGCAGGCAAGAGTATAAAAAAGAGGAGGAAACGCGAGATGAAGGGGTCGGTCGGGCAGGAGGAGATGCAGCAGCAGGAGCAGCAACAGGGTGCAGCAGGGAGTGGCAAGAGCAAGACAGTTGAGGAAGAGGCCGCGCCTACGGGGCGCATGGGCAATCATGAGTGTGAAGGGCAGGCCCAGACAAGCGCGAAAACAGGATGGGCGATTGCAAGCGCGCCAATGAATGCGAGCAACCGATGAATCCAATTGCGCAGGAAGAGGGAAGAGCAGGAGGGGAAAGGACTCAGAAGGACTAGATGGAGAAAAGATGATGGCTGAGGTGGCACAAGAGCTCGGGCTGCAGCAGAAGACGTCAGGCTGTGGGATCAGCGAAGGCTGCTCGAAGCTCAGAGTGCAAGCCAGTAAAACAGCATGCCGAGATGGAGCAGGACAACGGGGACAAACAGCATCACAACGAAAGAGACACTGACGAACTCCCCGCTCGCCTGGCATCCCCATGCCCATGCCCGGCATGCCCATGCCCGGCATGCCCATGCCCGGCATGCCCATGCCCGGCATGCCTGGCCCACCACCGGGAGGGCCCTGAAACCCCTTGCTCTGGCGGCCCGCGTGCCAACAACTGAACGGACGCCGTCTCCGTTCGGCAGGAGCTGGCCGCCCGAGCAGGCGCGACTTGGTGAACAAAGGGCGGAGTTAGAGGGCCCTTCGGGCCCACCACTCGGGGTTCGCAGCGAGGACGGAAGAAGGCGTGCCCAGCCTGCTCAGGCCGCAAGAGGTCCTCGTCCCGTCTGCCTCACACAAGCCAGAAGAACATTCCTCAAGAGCATGAGACCCTCCGTCGGCCAGAACGAACAGAGCACCCGAGGGTACCCTCCCCTGGATGCACAAGAGCATCCAACAGACACGAAGAACACTAGGGCATCCTCCCAGAACCGAAGTCGTTCTTATACCTCGGTTCGACCGCACTGCTGCTGCTGCTGACCCTCCTCTTCCACCTCGCTCACTCCCTCCCTCACTCCTCCCTCTTTCCCTCCCTCTTGCCCTCTCCGAAGCGGCTCTGATCAGAAGCAGTGAAGGTACCCCTAACTCTTTGGGACGGGACCTAAGTTAGGATGACCAAAGACACTAGGGATAGGTGTATTGCTGCAGATGCGAAGACGGGAACCTAAGTGAGGCCGCACCTTCATCGTATGATTTGGGTCAGGGGTTATTTTCTTCTCGATGATCTGACGAGGCCAAACGGGTCGTGATACCCCCAGAAGCCCAAAAGATTCCGGCCGAGGCGAAAAGAGAACCGAAGTGCGGCTTCCCAAGGGAAGCTTTACGAAGGAGGACGAGACCCGGGGTCATCGTCGTCAACGCCGATGTCGTCGCCGTCGTCGAAGTTCTGCGCACACGCACTTCATCGTCAACCTCACCATGGCCATCGCCAGCATTATCGCCAGCGTCATCATTGCCAACGTCATTACCATCGCCATCAACACCATCACCAACACCATCGTCGTCGTCGACGTCGTCCCAACCGTCGTCACGGCCATGATCGTCGTCGTCGTCACCTCGGTGTCGCCACCTAGCTGAGCGTTGCCCACAAATTGCGGGGGAAGGATCAGATGGTTCCACGAGCATGAGGATAATCAAATGCGGATGCGGTCAGCATGGATCCACCACGTATGCTACGTATAGTGCACCGCGTATGTCAACCTAGATCCCGCCACACCGAGTGCACCGGTTGGACAGCAGGACATTTCACTGCATAGCTTGCACCTTGCAACGAGAAATGCAGCACACCATAAGGTACAATAGAACACGGTGGAAGCACGTGTGCGCTGACGTGGCCGTCGCATCCTGGAAGCACCCATCTGGCACGTGCCCGCATCCTGCTGCTGAGATTCACTCTCCCCCTCTCCCAGCAACCCGCTCTCTCCCTCCTACAGTCGGCCTTGATTGGACAGGACACGCGAGAGGACAGAAGACCCTTGCGAGGGCCACATTGCCATAGGAATGCAGGAGGCATTGGTCGCAAGACACAGGACACGAGGGTACCCTTGATCTGGCAGGGTCGACCTACTAATCCGGGCCGCCTGTAAGCCTCACCTCCATCTCCCGCCCACCCCACCTCCTTCCCATGAGCGCCGCCTCTCCTCCTCCTCCTCCTCCTCCTCCTCCTCCTCCTCCTCCTCCTCCTCCTCCTCCTGCTCCTCGCCCTTCTGCTCATCGTCTTCATCCTGGCGTGCCTGCCCCTCCCAGACCGAAGGGCATCGGCATCCCAGGCATCGGCATGCCGAACGGCGGCATGCCCATGGGCATCCTCGCGAGCAGGACACTAGACGTTTCCGAAAAACTGCAGGGGGCCAGGGGCACACACATACATACACACAAATACCAGGATTCCCCATATTTTCCACATTTTCTGGGTTGTTGTCTTGCCCCCCAAGTCCCATACTGTCCCATATTGTCTGGGGAATCGACGAGTATTTGTGTCTGTGTTTGTTTCCCCTCCTGGAAAAACGCGCTCCGACTCTGGAGGCCTGAGGTATTGAAAGGGGACGGGAGCGCTCTTGAGCGGAGGACAAGGAGGGGACGAGGGAGAAAGGGAAGACAGGCAGGACAGCCCGAGGGGAGAAAGAGGAGGGGGGAAGGGAGAACAGGGCAGAGAGACCGCGAGTCGGCGTGCAGTGGATAGAAAGGAGAGAGAGAGAGAGAGAGAGAAAAAACAAAAAAAACAAAAACAATATATATATATATATATGTGGGGGCGCGCTCATGAATTGATATATATGTATATATACATATATATATATATATAGAGATCAAGGGCGACCTGAACAAATGGAAAAATGGCACGGGACCGTTGACGAGGGCGAGCCGAGCAATCCTGAGGAGCGTTAGGCAGTGGGACGGGTTTGGCCGCGCGCGGGCCACGAGGGGGATGGCAAGGACAAGCCGAAGACGAGCTGAGGACGAGGGAACTGGCAAGGACGAGCTGAGGACGAGAGGCAACTCTGCACTCGTCGTTGGGAGGACAGCAAGCCCTATCGTATCGACACTGCCGAATACCCTGCCCCCCCCCCACCCCAGATCCCACCACTCATCCGAAAGGGGAAATCTGTATGGGCACGGGCGCACTCTTCTGAAATAGCTCAAGCCTGCCGAGCTCACTCGCTCCATTTTAATAAGTTCTACCCCCCCGCTGGCACTTGCGACTCTTCGTTCCCGCATCCGAACTTTTCCAGGCGGGCGGGAAACAAAACAGTGTAATCGCACATGAGCGGAAGGCTGAAATGGCTCAATGGCAACAAAGCGTATGGCAAAGCTGGGCCGTCGCTGGGACGCGGATTTGGTGCGCGTGTTCTTTCCCAATGAGGTGTGCCAAAGGTTACGGCATCCTCCGCAGCACTGCAGCACGGCTTGCCCGGGTCCCAGTCGAGCGAGTAGATCCATGAAGACACGCAACAACAGTAATTCCACACGTCCGAACGACGCCCAGATACTTCAGTAGGAGCAAAGACATTGCGATCGTCGCAAGCCGAACGGATCAAGTAGGTAACGAGATCGCAATGCTACCCGGAGCCGTGCTGCAGTTCAGCTCCTGGGCGTTGCCGACAGGCCGTTCGCCATCGACATGAACCTGGCGTTCAAGGCTCGATGTGCAGAGAAGGATGGGAAGAAATGCCAACACCAATTACCCCGATAGAGCACTAATAGCAACAAAAGTGAAGACGTGGGTCGACGAGTGGGAGGTCTGCCAGCGAAAACGCACCTTGGATCCCTCGGAAACGCAAGGTCATGTGCAGAATGGTGCACATGCTAGAAAAGATCGTGGCCGACTGGACCAAAAGTGTACCTGGCACTGAGGCGAGACCGCGGGTCCCGAATAGAGGGTGGGGGGAATATCATACCGAAGAGCTGGCTGGCCTGGCGTCCTCGGGCCCAACATGGCGCCCACCAAGACGGCCGAACATGGCCCTAAGACGGCCCAAGACGGCCCAAGATGCCTCCAAGAGGGCCTCCGAAGGATTGTGGCATTTGCTTTTTGTTCGGCCTTCCGACGGCCCGAGACGGCCCAAGTGCCCCCAAAGATCGCCCAAGAGGCCCAAGACCCGGCCCCAAGAGGCCCCCAAGACGGCCCAAGAGGTCTCCAAGACGCTCAAGATGGCCTCCAAGACGGCCCAAGAGCCCTCCAAGACGTCCTCCAGGAAGGCCCGAAAGGGTAAAAATGGCCTCCAGACGGCCAAGATGACCTTCAAGATGCCCACGTGTTCCCCGAAGGCTTTCCAAACCGATTCGGGGAACACATGGTCCGATAGCTTGGCAGGTCTGGCCTCAACGTTCGGCCACATAGGCGCTTCCAAAAAGGCAGGGGGCGGCGGTGATTCGCTGTAGGCGTCTTCGATCAGTCCCTCCTCCTGCCCGCGCCGCTTCCCCCGCCCTCCTCCGCCCTTCCCGCCGCCTCCGCCCGAAACCAGGTCAGGTGCAAAATCGAAACAGGAACAACCAGGGATGTCTGAGATCCGTCGTTCTGCAGGATGTGTCGCGCGCACACTCGTCCTTGCCCCGCCCAGCTCACCCCCTCCTCAGCGAATGCTTCCCCCCCATAACCCGATCCTAGAAGAAGGAACAACGCCATATACATAAATGTCTGGCGCTCCGCGCGGACTTCTTGGATCTGCGCTGGACCCCCTTTCCCTAGCGCGTGGAGCGCGCCAGGGGCGTCGCAAGAGGCGCTGCCAGGGGGGCCCAGCGCGGCTTTTTCGGCGCGCCAAACAAATCGGCTTACGGCGTGTTTTCTTCTTCGAAAGCCTCCTTCGCCCGAAATGGGTACGGAAAGACTGGGCACAATGCCCAACAACAGATGCTGCCCCAAACCCACAGCGGCCGCTGTTGGGCAAGCGGCCCTTCTGTCTCAATTGGACACAGTCCGCGGCGACATCAACAGCGAGTCCTGATCAAAATGAACCAACACTGCTGTCGGTCATTGTACCCATTCTTTCCGTACCGTACCCATTTCGATCGTCCCGACCTCCCCTCTACCCATGTGGATGCCATGAAAATGTACACTCGAACAATCCTATCATTGAATGAAACATGTGTTTCACCTGTGTAAAGTATGTCCTAAACATGCTTCAAACAGGATCTACAGGTTTAAAACATGTTTGGAAACACCTGGAAGTGGTTTGGCAGCAGGCTTCATCTCCATGAATCGACTTCCGCACCTCCACCCTCCTCTTCCCGACCCTCTTCCGTCGGCTACACGCAAGAGTGACCCTGGGTAAGAGTGACCTTTAGTGCGCGGCTTCTTGGGGGCCGCGGGGGGACCAAACACAAGCGCGCAAGACGCTACCACCACATCGCGTTCGGCGATGGAGGGACCCCATTTAGCCCGCACCAAAGGTCACTCCGGCGAAAGGTCACTCCTACGTCTAGTCGATGCCCGCTCCTCCACCCAGGAACTTGGCCGAGGGGTTCCGGTACCCGGACAGGTCCCACTTCAGTGCCTGCGCCTGGCGCGCAGGAGAAAGGGCGCGGGGGGAGGCAGGGCGGGAGAGGGGGACCTGAGCACTGGCCATCGCTCGGACGTCCATTCCCTGTGCTTTTTTTGTGATTTCGTGCGTGGTTTTTGTCGCAGGATGATCCAGGATGCTCCTTCATAATCCCCGCCGAGAACAAGTGCGCACGTCCGAGCGATACCAAGTGAGCAGAGAGGGGGGAGGAAGAAGAGAACCCAGACACACTCGCGTCGTAAAAAGCAACAACCAAACATCTGGACGGTCGGGGCCGGTCCTTGGGAGTAAAACAGCTCGAGACGAAAAGCCTGTCCTGGGGAAGGGGTCGGGGCCTCCGGGGACGCCGTCCTGAAAAAATCAGGACGTCGCATGTCTGGGCAAGGGACCGGGGAGCGTCGGCGGCGAGCGAGGGGGGGGGAAGTGAGAAGGGGCGGGCCTTCTCGGAAGGCTCAGAAGTCCCCGGGCATGCCGAGAAATGTTCTCGAGGCCTTCCCCGAAGGCACAGGGGAAACTTCTCCGGAGGCGCGAGGGCTTCTTGAGAAGGCCCCCCGCCTTCTGAGAAGGCCCTCTCCCTCTCACTTTCCTCGGGGGCGGCAAAGAGGGGGGCGTCCAAGAGGGGGGGGGGGGGGCGCAAATCATGGCCGGCGGCATGTGCGCGGCCCAGGGGGGGGGGCCGGGGACGTATTGAAATGATTAAGAAGGGGCGCCATCAGATCAGGGGAAATATCATGGCCCCCGCCATGAGATCCACCCCCCCCTAGTCATCATCCCCCTCTTTGCCGCTCCCGATTCCCGGGTCCGCGTTGGACCCGCTCTGAACGCCCGGACCACGCGCCAGAGCAGGGAGGCCCAGCGCCGACTCCGACCCGGGAAATCTGCGCAGAGCCCCGGACGTGTAAGTCGGCGGCGAGCGAGGGGGGGGAGGTGAGAAGGCGAAGGCCTTCTCAGAAGGCGGCGGGACTTCTCAGAGGCCCTAGCGCCTTCCAAGAAGTGTGGTGCGTACGTTCGGGGAAGGCTTACGAAGCTTCCCAGAAGGCCGGGGGACTGCCGAGCCCTCCGAGAAGGCCTTCTCCCTCTCGCTTCCCCCCCACCGCTCGCCGCCGAGAACTGGAGCGGGCGCGCCGGAGAATCTCGGCAGCTCGGACCAACAAGCGCTGCGAGGGCACGGGCTCACAGGACGAGCTGCGCGCGCGCGGAGGAGGGAGCTCTCCGTGCAAGAGGGGCGCGAGGGCACGGATCCTCGGACCGCTCCCGGAAGACGACCGCCCCCTCCTCTGAAGGAAAAAACGCCACAAGCATGAACTTCTGGCCCTCCGCGCGGATTTCTCGGATCCGCGCTGGGCCCCCCCGGCGGCGCCGCCGGCGCCACCCCTGGCGCGCTCCGCGCGCCAGGGAGGGGGGTCCAACGCAGATCAACGAAACCCGCGCGGAGCGACAAAAGTTTACGCTTGTGGCGTTTCTATCTCATTCTGTCCCCCTCCTCCTCCTCCTCCTCCTCCTCCTCCTCCTCCTCCTCCTCCTCCTCCTCCTCCTCCTCCTCCTCCTCCTCCTCCTCCTCCTCCTCCTCCTCCTGACCATCCCCCGGGCATCCACCGTGACCGCGCCTCGCGGCGCCGAAGCGCCAGCCACCTCTGCGCTCTCGCGCGCCGCCCCGTGGCGCGAAGGGCTCCGCGACGCGACTCCATGGGGGGGGAAGGTCGAGGGAGGCTCGGGCCTCCTCGGAAGGCCGGGGACGCCAGTGGCCTCCTCCAGAGCCCTCTGGGCCTCCCTGCTCCGAAGCCACATGTCGGCTACACGCAGGAGTGACCCTGGGTAAGAGTGACCTGTGGTGCGCGGCTGTTTGGGGGGCCGCGGGGGGACCAAACACAGGCGCGCAAGACGCTGAGAATCGCATCGCGTTCGGCGATCGGCGGGCACCACTGGGCCCGCACTAAAGGTCACTCCGGCGAAAGGTCACTCGTACGTCTAGTCGAACATGAGCGACGATCAAAAACGGTTCTTGCGCGAGGTGGCGTGGCGACCTTACGCCGCAGCTTCATTACGCGGGCCCCCGGCGCGGCACGCCGCATCGGAGACGAGGGCGCTCACGCGCGACCTTACGAAGGCAGCTTACGCGCCGGTGTCGGCGCAGACGACCCCACTTTGCGGCGTCGCCCACATGCTGCTCTTCAGAAGACCGGGGGGCTTCTGGGACGCCCCGCCGCCTTCGGAAGAGAACTGCCCCACGGGAATCGGCCGGGGGGGGTCTGCGCCGGAGAGGCCCCAAGGAAGTCTGTCAAGAGGGGTGGGCTGCCCTCGTACCCCTGCGGGAGGCCTAGGCCAGGCAGCCCCCCGTTCGACGCCACGCTCTGCCTCCACCCTCCTGCCCCAAACCGCCGCTGCACGCATACACGATGTGGATGCGTCTGCTTGCCAAACCGCACTCGGAAGGAAAGGGCGCGATAGACATGAGCAGTGCGCTCCGCTCATTTTCAGAAATGGGTGGACTCGACCATATCGAGCAGTTCCGATCGGAACGGAGCCCGCCTCTCGCCAGAGTCTGCCCGAGTCGAGGCAGCGCCCCAGCAGAGGGAGAGCGCGGCGGCTCGCCGGGAGGAAGCCCAGAGGGCGAGCCCGCGGGAGGCCCTGCTCATAGCGGTGCGCATGGTCGGCGATGCCGCATCGTCGACCTGCGGACGCGCACGCACCGGTTGCGTGCGCGTCCACAGGCCTCTGTGACTGAGCCTGCAGCCTTGCCCGCCCCTTTCTCCTTTCTCCACCCTCCCCGCCTCTGAAAAAAAAACCTAACCTCTTTATCCGCGACCCCCTCATCCTCATCCTGGCCCACGTCGTCCGCATCCTCCTCCTCTCAACCCGCCACTGCCCCAAGTGTTTCCTTGGCCCCGCCTTCCTCTGCCGTCCTCGCCTTCCTCCTCCTCCTCCTCATACTGATCCTTCTTCTTGACCTCCTCATCCTCCGCTTCCTCCTCCTGATCCTCCTCCCTCTCATCCTCCTGCTCATCCTCCTCCTTGACCTCCTCCTCCCCCTCCTCCCCCCTCCTCCTCCTCCTCCTCCTCCTCCTCCTCCTCCTCCTCCTCCTCCTCCTCCTATTCCTCCTCCTCTACATTATTCTCCTCCTCATCCTCCTCCCCCTCTTGTCGCAATGACACCAGCCGTGGCCTGCTGGTGTGGCGGTAACGAACGCAGCTGCCTGGACGCGCTGTCGTCGAGGTCGTTGTCCTGCGTTTGGCACACAGACAGCGAACAGCATTTCACACAGACACACACGAACACACATATCACCATTCGCACTCGATTGTCCGTGCGATGATCGCTATCAATCTCGATACTTACCAGACATGCCAATCCAACCATACATCAGCTGCCCATGCGTACAACACTAAACAACAGGCGGCATGCTGGCGGGCGAGAGCTGAGAATAGCGGTTGCATGTGTGTGTCTACTGCTCTCTACTCTCTACTTAAGATTCTCTACGTTGCAGTCGCTGCGCTCTACTCTGTAGTCTGTACCGTATGTACCCTCATCCAGCCATTCACCCTCCACCGCCCACCCTCAGCACTCCACTCTTGGGGGCGCGCAAACATGGATTAGCGATCCATGGATCTGGCGCGCGGTCGCCAAACCCATTGATCGGGGGAGGTGCCCTCCCCAAAATGCGGCCAGTGCCGCCTCGTCCCGCGGCGGTAATCCGCGATTCCCCATGGAAACGGAGACCGTCGCTCATCCACGCCCCCTTGATCCGTGCTCGCGATCGCATGACACCTTCTGCTCTCTACACTGCTAGCTGCCTCTCGCGTGCTCGGCAGTGCTTGCTCTCTCTCTCTCTCTATCTCTCTGCTGTGGGCCCCGACGGCAGGTCCGCTCCCGCTCCTGGGAGGGGCCCCTCCGGGCCCCGGTCGGCGAGGAAAAGGCGATAACGGGGGGGTCGGGGCATCGCCCCCGGAGCACATCCTGCGACGGAGCCGGGGCGAGGACGACAACCGGGCGGGGACCCAGATCAAGAATCTCGGGGGCCCGGCGGCGCCGGAGGACGTCGCGGGCGCCGTGGCCTTCCTGGAGCGTTCCAGAACGCTCCGAGAGCGCTCCTGGGAGAAGAGACACCATGAACAGAAACTTTTGGCGCTCCGCGCGGATTTCTTCGAAGGGGCTCTGGGACACACAAATAAATACACACAAATAAAAGGATTCCCCATATGTGTCAATATGTTTGGGTTTTTGTCTTCCCCCCCACTTCCCATATTTTCCCATATTTTCTGGGGGGTCGACGATCACATGTGTCTGTGTGTTTCTTCCCCTCCTGATTCTCGGATCTGCGCATGACCCCCCTCCCTGGCGCGCGAAGCGCGCCAGGGGCAGCGCCTCGCCAAGCGCGGCTCCAAGGAAGGGCGCCGCAGGATCCAACGTGTACGTTTGTGGCGTGCTCTCTTCGTCGATTATCATCAGAGCGTTCCAGAACGCTCTGAGAGCGTTCTGGAGCTCGGGGGTGCGCAGACACGGACTAGCAGTCCACGGCTTTGGCGCGCGGTCGCCAAATCCATGGATCGGGGGAGGTGCCTTCCCCAAAACGCGGCCCGTGCCGCCTCGCTCGGCGGCGGCAATCCGCGATGTCCCAGGGAAACGTGACCCGTCGCTGGCCCACGCCCTCTTGATCCATGCTCGCGATCGCCCGAGGAACGCCCTGGAACGGACTTATCCTTCGTCCTGGCCCCGTCCGACGGAAAAAAAAAAAAAAAAACACTGTGTGTGTTGTTGTTGATTTGTCTGTTGTCATTTGTTGTTTGTTTTTTGTTTGTTTGTTGTGTTGTGTTTGGTGTGTTGTGTGTTTGTGTTGTGTTGTGCTTTTGCTTCCCCACTGTGCTTATTGTTGCTTGCTCCCACTGGTGCCGTGTGTCTGTTTGTCTGTCTTTGTTTTGGTGTGCTTGATTGTGTGTGTGTTTTTTGTTGTCCGACGTATCCCCCGACTGCTGCCCCCCGGGGACCCCGCCCCTGCCACGACCAGCGCGGGCCCCGTCCTTCGACGGCGGGGGGGGGCCAAAACCAGGCCGCCGGTGCCCCGCCTCGGCCCTCGAGGCGCGCCGAGGCCCGCGCCGAGGCGGCGCGGGGTCCTGGCCAAGGAGAGGAGGCCCCGTGCGAGCCCCGCCCCGCCTCCCCGCGGTCTCGAGGGGTCGAGGCGGGGTCCTCCTCCTCCTCCTCCTCCTCCTCCTCCTCCTCCTCCTCCTCCCCCTCCTCCTCCTCCTCCCGCCTCCTCCTCCTCCTCCTCCTCCTCCTCCTCCTCTCCTCCTCCTCCTCCTCCACGGTTTCGAAGGGTCGAGGTGGGGTTCCCTGCGTTCGGGGCCTCCCGACCGAAGTGAAACCCACCCCCCACCCCTCAGAAGTCCTGGGGTGGTGGGGCAGGGATCGCACGTGGCCTCCTGAAACAATCTGCCCGAGGCTCCCTCCTGAAGCGCATTGTGACCAGAAGGTCGAGGCGGGGGGCAAGAAACGGCATCAGTGATCTGCCTTCGAGCCATGTCCGCCCGAGAACGCGAAGCGGAACTCCCAGGTAGCATGGTCTGGCGGCTGCGGCATGCAACCGTCATTGATCGAAGACAGGACGCGGGACATCCCGGGAGCACCAGCACACGGTGTGCCTGGCGGCCGAAGGTGTGCGAGGCAGGAGCTCTTACCTGCAAGCCTAACAAACCAAAACAGCTGGGTGGGGAAGAAACACGACGACATGGGTAATCCATCATCGTGAGGCATTCGGACGGGAACGAAGGAGTGGCACGCTGCTGGCTCCCAACGGCGGCGAGTCATCGAGACCCTCTTGTCATGAACGAGAATCGAATCAGGCCGCGGCGACGAGGTCGCCCCCGGAGGGCCTCGACGTATACACCACGACGTATGCCAAGGAGCTCGGCGAAAGAGTTCGGTGTATAGACGCTCAAGCGCCCCACGGGTTGGGAAGCTGGGGCGTCTACACACCCAGCTCCTTGACCAACCAGACGACTTGGTGTATACGTTGAGCCCCCCACCCCCCTGGAGGCACAGAAGAAGCGAGGGGCCTCGAAAGCCCGTCCTGCATCCCTCCAGCTCCTCCTCCGTCCTCATCCTCCCCCATCCCCCCGAATCCTTCGGAGAGCCCTCCTCCTCCACCCTCCTCGATCCATCCTCCTCGACCCTTCCTCCTCCTCCTCCGCCTCCTCCTCCTCCTATCGATCCTCCTCCTCCTCCTCCTCTTCCTCCTCGGGCCTCCTCCTCCTCCACCTCCTCCTCCTCCTCCATCTTGCATCCGTCCTTTCTCCCCACCCCCCCACCCCTCATCCTTCTGAAAGCCCTCCTCCTCCTCCCCCCCCCGAGCGGCGGCGACACCGCCCAAGAGCCCCCACAGAGCCCTCCGCGCAGAGGGCTCCTCGGCCAGGCGGGCGGGCAGCTAGCCTTTTTCTGCCCGCGCGCTGTGGCCTCGACACTTCGGAGGGGCGACAGCTAAGCCGGGAGGTGGCCAGACGAGGAAAGGTGCGCCCCTCCTCCCCCTCCTCCTGCATCCCTCCTCCTCCTCCTCCTCCTCCTCCTCCTCCTCCTCCTCCTCCTCGTCCTCGTCCTCGTCCTCCTCCTCCTCCTCCTCCTCCTCCTCCTCCTCCTCCTCCTCCTCCCTCCTCCTCTCCTCCTCCTCCTCCTCCTCCTCCTCCTCCTCCTCCTCCTCCTCCTCCTCCTCCTCGTCCTCCTCCTCCCTCCTCCTCCTGAACCTCCTCCTCCTCCTCTCCTCTTCGTCCGCCTCCCTCCTCCTCCTCCTCCTCCTCCTCCTCATCATCATCATCATCATCATCATCATCGTCATCGTCATCCTCATCCTCATCATCATTCATCATCATCATCATCATCATCATCATCATCAGCATCATCATCATCATCATCATCATCATCATCATCATCATCATCATCATCATCATCATCATCATCATCATCATCATCATCATCATCATCATCATCATCATCATCATCATCATCATCATCATCATCATCATCATCATCATCATCATCATCATCATCATCATCATCATCATCATCATCATCATCATCATCATCATCATCATCATCATCATCATCATCATCATCATCATCATCATCATCATCATCATCATCATCATCATCATCATCATCATCCGCAGCAGCAGCAGCAGCAGCATCATCATCATCATCATCATCATCATCGCCCTTCTCCTCTTCCTCCTCGTCCTCCTCGTCCTCCTCCTCTTCCTCCTCCTCCTCCTCCTCTCCGTTATGCTTCGTCCTCTTGTCATCGCCGAGGCTGGCGTCGCCGTCTTCCCCCAGCCTCTTCTCCTTCTCGCCCACCTTCACTCCTCCTGCTCCCCTTTGTCACTGGGCGGTCCAGGACGAAAGGGGAAGCAGAGGGCCGCGAGTGAGGAAGTAGGGAGGGGTAGGGGGTGACAGCGAGGAAGAAAAGAAGGGAGTGGAGGAGGACAAGGAGAAGTAGGGATGCACCGAAGAAGAGCGAGGCGGAGGAAGAAAACTGGTTGAGGCAGGAGAGGGATCGGAAGATGGAGGACTACGATGGTAAGGGGGCAGGATGAGGAGGTAGGAGGAGGAGGAGGAGGAGGACCATGCGGAGCAGGACGGAGGTCGAGTCGAGGAGACCTCCTCTTCCTCTTCGCTGATATTCCTCGTTCTTCCTTCATCTCCTCATCCTCCCTTCCATCTCCTCCATTCCGTTGCCCGGCGATTCGCCTGAGACTTCCGCACCATATATAATCCGGAAGCTTGGCATGCGCCCGTGTTCGAAATGTGGCCCTCGCCTTAGCGCCACGCACATTCGTATGAAAACCCTGCAGCAAACTCAAAGATCGAGGGCGGTCCGTTTTCAAAGTGTGCCTGCTTCTCCTCCAGAGCGCCGCGAGCATTCGTCTGAAAAGTGTACAAACACCTCGAAAATGGAGGGCGGCTCATTTTCAAAATATGGCTCGTGCCCCCGCGCCGAGCACGTTCGTCTTCATTGTTTGCAGCCGTTCCAAGGGAGCGTACATCTGACGTAAGGAGTGGTGCCCTGGTAAGATGCAGGAACGTCTGGACGCAACTATCTCGTCAATTCGCGGTGCTGGGGTTCAAAGAATGTTCTGGCACGACTTAGGAATGTTAGGACACAGTAGTTACGTTGCGTTGCGGCGCTGAAGACACCCAAGTTGTGTGTTGGGCAAGATTGAGGGTTATCAGACAGTTGTTTCCAATGGGGCACTTCTCACAATGAAAACGATTTCCTGTAGGGATGGATGAAAAGAGAACTTGTGGAAATTGAGTGTAACATCGTTGGCCCACCTTGGCTTTACACTGGTCCAGCTCTGCCTCCTCCTCCTTCTCCTCCTCGCACTTATTCTCCTCCTCCTCTTCATCCTCCTGCTACTCCTCCTCATCCTATTCCTCCTCCTCATCATTATCATCATCGTACTCCTCCCCGACA